CTCTGAAGATAACCTGCAAAAAATGAATGTTTGTTGTTCTTAAAGACCAAATCATTTCTGCAGTTCCAGACAGCCCATAATAAAGCACATACTCCCACACGAATGTGTCTAGCTGTATCGGTATCTATCCCATCAAGCCACGTCCCAAATAACTTGTTGATAGAATTTTTGCCAGAGGACAATCCAGAAAAAGGTGTTTGATTGATTCATGTTGGTCACAAAAGCTACATCTTGTAGAACCTGTCCAATTGCATTTTGCCAAATTATCCTTTGTTAAAATAACTTGTTTATGCATAAACCACATAAACACTTTGATTTTTAAAGGTACTTTAACTTTCCAAACATGTTTCGATCTAGGAATCGCGCTAGAGTTAATAACATCCAAATACATAGATTTAACCGAGAATTCTCCATTCTTAGTTAGTTTCCAGCACAAATGATCGGGTTGTTGAGACAACTGAATATACATCAATCTTCTCACAAGATTGAGCCAGGCGTCCCAACGATTTCGCACTAGCGTCCTCCAAAATTGAATATTGAGTGGAGTGGATTGTAGTACTGTTGCAACGTAAGCGTCTTTACGCTGAACAATGTTATACAACGAAGGATATTGGAGTGCGAGGGGCGTCTCCCCCAACCATGTATCCTCCCAGAACCTCGTAGCAGTACCGTTTTCAACTATGAACCTTGTCCTATTGAAAAAGAGTGGTTTAACTCTCATCAGTCCTTTCCAAAAAGGCGAATCAGTCGATCTCACTGTCACCTAGGCCAGGGTTCTAGAGTGAAGGTATTTGTTACGCAAGATCTGAGCGCATGTGGCCTCCGTCTCGATAGAAATCTTAAACAACCACTTGCTAAGGAGACATCTGTTCTTTACTTCCAGATTCTCAATACCTAGACCCCCTTGGTCTTTCGGCCTACAAATGATATCCCATTTAGCAAGTCTGTATTTTCGCTTCAGATCATCACTCTGTCAGAAGAAGCGTGATCGATAAAAATCTAGCCTCTTCCGGACTCCAACCGGTACCTCGAAAAAGGAGAGAAGAAACATGGGCATACTCATGAGGACCGAATTAATAAGAATTAATCGTCCTCCATATGACATCAGCTTGCCTTTCCAGCAACTCAATTTCTTCTCAAAACGGTCCTCAATGCACTTCCACTCTCTGTTGGTCAGCTTACGATGGTGAATTGGTATACCTAAATACGTGAAAGGTAAAGCCCCCAATTCACACCCGAACAATTGTTTGTACGCATCTTGGTCATCATTAGCTCTCCCGAAACAGAACAGTTCGCTTTTATGGAAATTAATTTTTAACCCGGTCAATTGTTCGAATAAGCATAACACGAGCTTCATGTTTCGCGCTTTTGCCAAATCGTGCTCCATGAAGATGATAGTATCATCGGCATACTGTAGAATGGATACACCTCCATCAACTAAGTGCAGGACGAGGCCACCTACCTGACCCGCATCCTTAGCCCGTCCTATGAGAATTGTCAACATATCGACCACTATGTTAAAAAGGATAGGTGACATCGGATCTCCTTGCCTCAGCCCTTTGTGTGTTTGAAAGTAGTGACCTATATCATCATTCACTTTAATCCCAACACTTTCTTTTTGCGTGAAAGAGTCTATCTGGTGTCTCCAGGCCTGATCAAAACCTTTCATACGCAATGCCTGTTGAAGGAAGGGCTATTTGACCTTATCGTATGCTTTCTCAAAGTCCACTTTGAAAACAGCATGGGATATGGTCAGTGATCAAATAAACAGTAGGGAAACTAAATGAGCATAGGCAAATGTTTAACTCCAAATCACCACACAGATTGTCCTAATATGCCATACAAAAAGGTACAGCTTCAGAAGAAAACGGAGGCATGCATGCAACAGACTACTTTTCAGTAATTCTTTTTTTGCTCAATTATACATGATGGGCAAGACTGTTTCATTTTCCAGTACTACTATGTGGTACGGCGGCACGAGAGTACTCATCCATGCATTAATGCGGGTAGAGGCGACGACATAAAATTCTTCCTCACTTAGGTTTAGCATCAGGGGGTTAATATAGAGCCATGTGCTTCGAAAGGCGGTAGCCATGTAGCCAGGGCCTGGGCACATGGGCCCACAACATGGTGGCCGACAACCACCCCTTTGGCACTTCTTTGATCTAATGTGGTCCTATTGATTTCCTTTGTCAACCCAAAAATATTTATCCTATTGCATCAAAAATGCAGAACTATCACTTGACACGGGATTAATCGGTTTGTGCAATAAAAATCAAAGAAAAGTGTGCCAAAATTATTTATAAGTGATATAAATATAGCATGAACATAAAATAATATAGATAAATTTGAGACATATTACTAGCTTGTCAGGCGAAGTCTCTTGACATACGCATCACAACCCCATTTTTTGAGAAAAGAGAAATCATGATTCGTTCCACTCCAAATCTCATATGGTATCTTGTCAACAGATTTAGATGGTACCCCGTTTAGTGTGAAGGCTGTTGTTTCTGTAACATAACCCCAAAATGATAATGTTAGACCCGATTGGCTCATCATTGATCGAAGAGAGATGTGCATATTTCAACCTTGAACTCATGCCCAGTTTAATTTACAAATTGACCCCAACTTCAAAACAGTTAGGACACAACCATGAAACTTCGATACCGTTTTTACCCCTCGACACGATTGACTAATGGTTTTGTTGTGATGTGGCACCTGGTCCCACATGTCATGGTAACACATACAAACATTGTGGACTAATGCATAGTAAATAAGCAGTCCAAGGGCTAAATTGCACATGAAGAGGACAATGATTTCCCTTTCTTCTTCGTGCGAGCTGGGGTTCTTTTAGCCGCCACCACTGTTGGAGATACGCCACCGTGTCGGTGCAGCGGCGAATGATGCCGCCACAACATGACGGGACGCCTCCCCCGAGCTCACTCTCCAACTCGTTGCCACACAAGCTCTACTTTGATTCTCGCATCAGCAGTCCCGTTCTCCACATCAGCTACATCATTGTTGGTCAATCGCTGGTGACCTTTCCTGCATGGCTAACAACTGCGCTCCATCCCCCATCCCTAGCCACGCATGCATCGGCACCTCCTAGTTGCTATGGCACCTCTCCTAGCTTCGCCTCGGGTGAGCCCATTGCCTTTATGTACTAGGCATGAGCTAGCCTGACGCGAGACCGAAGTTGTGAGGCATGTCGGACATGCTGGCGAGGCGCTAACCATACCATCATGGGCCAAGCACCGCAACACCCCCGAATGGAGGAGCCCTGGGCCGGGGAGGAGTTCATGGCATAGGTTGCGACCTTAGGCGGGCGCGGAAAAGCTCGTGGAGGCGCGTCTGACCTCCGACTTGTGCAAATGCGCTTGACGCAATGTCAAGCTAGGGCGGGACGAAGGAGACGACATCGCACCAGAGTTGGAGAG